CTTCGTGAAAAAGTTAGGCATGTTATATGATCGAAATGAAGGCAGAGCCAGATGTACAATAAAGAAATGAATATATGTGAGTCGTTAGAAATAAGTATAGAAGCCTAAATAAAGATATATTAGTAACCGATAAATTTGTGTATATGTATGCGTGATATATATTGTGGTAATAAACATGACACATCACTACACACTAGTACATCGATATCGCACGCATACATACTCACAAATTGTCGTAAACAGCGGATTTTTGGAGTTTGATCTAGGGTTTAGGATCCTCTTAATCGTTTACAGAAATGAAATCACGCGATAAATTCCGCTCAAAATTTTACAGTAATTAGCTGAAAGATGCTACTTGTCAAAAAGTAATGTGATTTTCTAAGAACTTATCGACTTGCCTTCGTATGTTGTAAATAACTATTCACTTGTGTAGTAAAATATTTCATAATAATATTAATAAAAATACACATATAAAATCTTAAAAAAACATTTTCATTAATATAGCAAAATTTAAAAAGTAAATCATAGAATTCTGTATAATTAAATTAGATTGACGTTGTGTATAATACCACCATAATGATTACGTATAAACATTTTATTGAATTAATATTTATTCGCGTTTTAGGCAATAAATAAATTTACATTTGAAGAAGAAACAGTATATACCTGAGAGTCCACGTTCCAATTGAACGAGTAATGGACCCGAAGTGGCTGCGCGTGCTTGTTCCATGTTTGCAACGTCGTACTCAATTGTGAGAGACGCGATCGGTGTGTCTGAACTCCTTCTAAGCGCGCGTTGTGCCTCTGCTAGAGTGAGTCCCCTCAATTCAGTATCGTCCACAGCCAATAACCGATCTCCGGGCCTGACTCTACCCTCTCTGGCGGCTGGACCATCTGCTTTCACCCCCGTCACTACCAATGCCCTTGACATCCCTCCGCGAAGAGTCACACCGAGACTACCATCCTCGCGCTCCACTCTCACTTGCGCGACCTTCGATGAAACGCTGGAAAGCGACGATAAGGCGCCAATAATGTTCGTTTCTTGATCGTTCAATAACAGAAAGCTATGAGGATGATACTGTATCTGTGTGAGCGTCTCTTCCGTTCTTGTTGAGTCGGAACTCGCGGATGTGGCGACACTTCCCGGTCTAGCTCGGCTCTTGTGTGAGCGCATTGTTGCCAGTCTCAACGAACTAAACATCCTTGTCGACTTCTATTCCGTGATTTGATATAGCCCAAAATACAATCTAACAAAATAATTATCATTATTTTTCCAAAAAGAAGACAATCTCTCACTAATAATTCCAATTACAATCCTTATCTTTTCTTTTATTTATATGTTTATAATTTTACACATGTGGCAATTATGGACATACCAATTTACAACAAGCGATAAATTACACGAATCACTTACAGTTAATACAAATTTTGCAAAAGATCTTTTTTATAGAACATCCTGTATATCCTTACTAAATTACTAAAATAACCTTTTATATTACACAATATGCAAAAGATTGACTTTTTAAGACCATATGTAGATTATTATCATTTTTTAAAACAGAATTGTATGATTTTTTTGCATAATACGATTTTTCTCATATGATTTAATATGTGTAATATAATTCTTTTAATTATTTTGTGTAAAAGTATTAAAGTATAGAATTATTTTTATAATTATCCTTAAAAAATCGATAGTACAAAATGCTTATACTTTATTCTAGCACATTTTAAAATAAAATACAAAATAAATCATAAACGATTTATTTTTTGACAACAATATATACATTTAATACCTTTATACACAGAATAATGAGATGAATCGATTCGTATAGAATAAAATATATTATAATTACTTTGCAAAAAAGATATGTAGTTGCATATTGCATAGCTTTTTTGAAAAGCAAGCATTCTTTACATCAATTGACTCATTTCATTATTCTATACATAAAAGTATTAAGGTACAGTTGTAAAAAAATTAATAATTTATGAGATATTTTATATTTTATTACAAAATATGCCAGTATAGGATATTTTGTAAACTATTGATTTTTTAACTGTGACAATAATTTGTCTCTGACCACCAATATAATTGGATTAATTACCAAGGGTTTTTTAAAACAAAAGTTAATGATGCTGACTTCAAACAACGATCTTATTTTCAATTTTAACTATGAATTCTTGTATAGACAAAGGAATATTATGGATTCAGAATTTATAAAATTGACTATGATATAATTTTTAAACCTTCAAATCTACATGGACTTTTTTAACCTTATTTACATACTTTTATCTTAATAGCAAAAATATAATAAT